GGGGGGAGGGGCCGAGGGGGAGGGCGGGAGAGAGAGAGAGAGAGAGAGGTGGACAGGTGCTGGGAGCCCCGGCAGAGGGGGGCCCTCTTGCCCGGCGGTGGCCGATGATTTGTCCCTGCACCGGGAGCCGGCGGCGGTGGCGTCGGGCCCGGGGGAGATCCCCCATTCTTCCGGGCCGGTCCTGGGGGACGACGGAGGATGGGAAGCCCCTGCGCAGAAACCTGTCCCCCCTCTCGGGGGGCACACACCGGGGGGGGGGGGGATCGATTTCCCCCACCCGCAGCAGCCCCCGGAAGCGCCGGCATGCGCCCCGCCCTGCCTCGATCGGGCGCGCGCGCGCGCGCGCGGAGGGCGAGAGCCAAAAGAGAGAGAGAGAGCAAGCAAACCAAGCCGGCGGGAAAGCACGCCGGGCGCCCGGGCCAGCTGGAGGGAGATAACAGGCGCCCCATCCGTCGGCACCTGGGGGCTATCTCTTGTCCTCCCTCGGGTTTCGGCTCTAGTCTGCCGTCCCGCCTCGCAGGCCGGGGGACCGGGCAGGGCGGGGGGGGGGGCGAAGAGTTGGCGGCCTGGGGCGGGCCCGTCGGCCGGGAGAATGGTCGCCTCCCGCCGGCTCTGTTTTCTCGGGCCGTGATCGACGCTCTCCATCCCTGTGTTGCCCCTTCCTCGTCTGCTCCTCCCCCCCTTTTTCTCTCCTCTCTCTCTCTCCCTGCCCCCTCGGCCTCTTGAGACATCATGAGCGGGCTGCCACATCTTCTTGCGAGTCAGCCGCCGGTGAGCTCATCGTTGCTGGGCGCGCGCGACGGGGGCACGCCCCTGCCAGCCGGCCAGCCGGCGCCGGCGGAGGCCCTCGCGCGTGCTGAGCACCTGATTTGGGGCTATGTACGTCCACGCACACACGCACACACGCACACATGCACACATGAATGCACACGCGCATGCACGCACACCGGCCAGCCGGCTCCCCGCGCACCAGCCTCGCCACCCTCCCTGGCCGGTCGCCGGTCGCGCATCCTGCTGTTGCTGCCCCCTCGGCTCGCGTCCTAACTCCTTGCCCTGCCCCTTGCTGCGGCAGCCCACCTCGCTGACGGCCCTCTCGGACAATGCCCGGGCCGTTTCCTATCCATCGGGGCATGCCCTGCCGCATGCGCAACTCTTCTGGCCCCCGGGGCTGGCGCTGTACACCTGCATCCCGCGCGATGGCGTGCTCCCGGGGATTGGGCTGCCGTTTGTGCCCTCCCGGTGATGGGTGTGTAATGGAGCTGTGTTCCGCGCGCGCGCGCGCGCGCGCGGCCTAACGTCGTGAGTTGGATTTGGAGAGTCTGTATTCGCAAGGGTAGAAGAAAGGGGAGGGAGAGGGAGGGCAAGCCGGTGTACATGGCCCGTTCCTCGCCCCCCCCCCCCGGGGGGTGGCCGGGCGGGTCAGTTCTTCTTCCCCGCGCGCTTCTTCAGGGCCGAGGTGGCCGGCCGGACGCAGGTGGTCGAGAGCTTCTGATGGAAGGCGCGCAGCTCGGTCGGCTCGACCTGCAGATGCGCGCGCGCGCGCGCGCGCAGAGAGCAGATCGGATGGGGAGGCCGGAGTGCGGGAAGTGCGCAGGTCAGGGCGTGCTTTTGGAGCGGAGCGGGGAAGAGGAGGAGGGGGGTGTGCAGCGGATCTGGATGTCGACGCACGAGGGTGGAGATGGATGAGGCGCCATGCGTGGCAGTGAAGAGTATGGCCACGTCGCCGGCGGGGGTGGGCCCGCCTGGTGTGGCGAGAGAGTGCGCGAGTGTGAGCGAGCGCCGGGGCAAAAAGAGAAGAAGGGAAAAGGCCCAACACCTAAACAGGCGGCCGGCGGTGGAGACGCACTGCGAGTGGAGCTGAGGGTGATGGCCCCGTCGTCGGCGGCGGCAGCGTAGAGGGCCGTCAGGCTCTCGAGAAACTAGGTTGGGCATGGCGGGAGCGCATGCGG